CCTTTTCAAACAAAATGTGAAGAGCCCGCACCCACCCGTCCAGTGGGGCGTCACCGGACCCTCTGGTGGGCCACATGGCCTCTCTCTGCACCAGTAGTTTGCCGAGAAATGGTGACAGCTGAATTTGCATGATACAGCTACAGATGGGATTCGCAAAAACATGTCTGTTTACGGGGTTTGGATCTGAGAATAATCCCTTTACCCAGTCATGTTGGGAAAAGTCAAAATATTCACTTTCTCTTGCCCCCATGAACAAAGCCAGTGCTGTTGATGCTTCCCGGATGGAGGATGGGGGATGGATGCAGGAGGGATGGACAGAGGGACCAAGGATGGATGGAGGGACGGGCAGAGAGAGCTCTGCAGTCCACGTACCACCCTTGACCCAGGAGGACACACGTGTTCCTGTCCAGAGACACTCCCTGTGCTCGGGAAACTGGGGCTCTGGCTGCTGAGGGTGACGCCCGTGGGGCGTGGGGGGCTCAGATTCCCCTGCGCTGCCAGGAGACACCCGCGGCATTCAGACCCGCTCACACCCCGCTCTGCCCTGGGGCAAGTCCCTCCCGCTCTGTGAACCTTCACCTGCAAAACACATGCAGGCTGTGGTAGGATCTCCCCTGGAGGGCTTAGCGCAGTGCCTGGTGGCAGACTGGGCTCGACGCGGGAGCCTCGCAGTCATTCGCCGTCTGAGTTACTCTCCAGGGAGAGAGGCAGAGTGGGAAGCCCGGGGTGCCTCCCAGGAAGCCGTCTCGGCCTGACTCCCTCCAAAGGCCGCCCCTCGGGGACCCCCACAGACCTGACGGCCACCAGGCTTCCGAGAGCTCGGGGCTGTGTGGCTGCACTTCTGCACCCGGCTCTCCTCCAGCTCAGATGCCACGGTCGCCCCAGCAGCCACTTCCTGTCGCGTGTCTGCGTGGGGGCGCGTGTGCGCAGGTGCCTGTGTGCGCGCCTTTCGAGGCGCTGCGTTCTGCTGCTGAGTCGGTATCTCCGTGTTCCAGTCACCACAGCATTTTTCCCCCTACCTGGTCACCCACCCACCCAAACCAGCTTGTCAAAGGGACAGCAGGAAGTCCCGGGGCACAGAAACCCTTGCAACAGCGATATTTGGGTGTAGTAGGTGCTGGGGACGCCTGACACATGGACCTGGCTCCTTCGGGGCACTGCTGAGTGACGCTGGGCAGCTCACAAGGCGCTCAGGACAATAACAGCGATTGTACCTGTGAGGCTTAAAGGAGACCTCCGGCCAGCCACCCGGCACTCGAAATGCGAGAGGCTCTTACAGTCCCCTCTGCTGCTGGACCACAACGAGCTGTGAGCAATGTGCTGCATTCAGTGCTAATCTTATGTAGTGTGACGTTCGGCAGTCACACGTGATGTTAAAGTACACTAGAAACATTGTTGAAATATGTTACAAACGTAGATAGACCATAGAGCCTATTTTTTAAAAAAAATCTCTGAGTCAGCTTAACACAGACCTGTGGCTTCTATGACAGAATAGATTGCATTTAAAGATCATAGTTGCTGCGCTTTGCCAAGCTGCTGGCTTGTTCATTCGGCGTTTCATTCGACAGCTGTTTTTTGACCAGCTCCCATGGGCTGAGCTCAGTTTGCAGTGCTGGGTGCAAAATGGGGGCAGGACAGAGGTGGTCCCTGCTGCCACCGAGCCGACAGTCTAGAGGGATGCGACTGAGCACGCCACCCCACATGCACGGCGGTGGGGGGAGCAGAGAAGGAGAGCGGGGATGGGGGGGTCAAGGAGAACGTGAGGGGGTGAGCCAGGGGTCCCTCTGCTGGGATGGCCAGTGCAAAGGCTCTGGGGCCAGGGCATGCTGGGAGGGACTGCCGTGCTGCAGGAGATGAGGTCACCGGCGACTGGCACAGGAAGAAGTTAGATTTTGCCTTTGGGGAGGACTCCCTGTGGGCAGGAGAGACGGGGCCTCACCAAGGCTCACCGCATCCTGGCTGGTGGCTTAGGACAGTCCGAAGGGGCCAGGGTGGTGCAGGTGGCAGGTGCAGAGGTGGCCTGTGACCCTCCTTCCATACTTTGGGGTATGTGGCTGGTCCTGACACCTCTTCCACCTGGGTTTCATCTGCTCTCCTGGATAGGGACCCCCCTGCCTCACGCCTCTCCTGCGGACTGTCCTGTACTTAGCACGGGGCCTCCCTCCCTAAAGAAAACGGGCGTCTTAAGCTGACCCGGCTAAAAGGCGGGCTCCGGGGGTGCCGTGCATGTGCAGTCTGTGGGCTCCTCTCCGGGGGGCCATCCCCGGAGTGCCATGGGAACCACCGCCCCAGGCGTGTGTCGCAGGTAGTCCTGGCAAATAGCTCTGAGTCCCAGAGTATGTGTATGGCGGAGAGATTTTGTGCGACGGTGTCTCCTCTTCCTGAAATATGCTGAGTTGACCCAGTCCGGACCTGCGCATGATGCACACACAGCAAGTGTTTGGAAGAGAGTTTTCCATCAAGTTTCCATCATTCACTCACACCCAGCCTGCCCGCGGAGCCTCCCTAGGACCCTGGGAGGAACACAGGGTGGTGAATGTCCCCATCGTCCAGGTTAGGGAACTGGGACTCAGGGAAGTGTTGTGACTGGGTCAGGACCGCACAGCGGGGAGGTCTGGGTCTGCTGACTCGGCTCTTCCCCAAACAGCTGGGCAACAGTGTGGCCCAACACAGGGCAGCCAGGCGGCGACAGTGCCCTCCACACCCACCAGGGGGCAGCAGATGACTGTCTGGGTTGTTGGCTGACAAGGGGGCCTGTGTCCCAGCCCCCGGCTCATCACCTTGGTTGGTTCTCTGTCCAGCAGGATGGCCAAGGGCAGTGAGGACAGAGGTCCCTTTCTTGCTGAGGGCGCTACCTGTGGGAGAGAGACATAGACACAGGCCTTTATGGGGCACCAGGAAGAGGGCACCCCAAGCGAGGGGCTGTGGGAGCTGCGTTCGGCACCAAGCATGGTGCAAAGCCTCTGGGTAGTTCATCCTGTTCATTCTTCACAAGTGATTCTGCCGGGTATGGTGGGGCGCTCTCCATTCTACAGGGGAGGGGCGGGGCGGTGCTAGCGGAAGGTGCCTGCGCAGCCTCTGAGTGGAGGCTGGAGGGGCTGGGGTTCAGGCTCTGTCCCCCACTTTGCAATTTCTCAGGGCTGCAGAATGTTTGCTTTTGTCTCAGGCAAGGAAGGCAGACCCCCCCCCTCCACAGGCAGATTCCCTCCTGAGCATGTTCTCCAAGGTGCCACACCCTGTTTCCTCAGAGGAAGGATGCTGGACAGGAACGTAGAGCCCGCTGGGCATTTGGCCTGATTTTACTCTTGCCGGGGCCACTCCCCGCAGGCCCTGGGAGGCCAGCTCCTCCCCCACCTCTCTCCCTGGGCCAGACCCTGGCCCGAGGGCCCTGCTTCCACCTCAGTTTGCGAAGGAGCAAGTCTGACTCTGCAGAGGCCAATTCTCAGAACAGAGGGCCCACGGGACTCTCTCTGGGTTCAAAATGAGGCGAAGGTGTCACCCTGCTCTGGCTCCAGCACCAGAAATGCCAGAGGAAGAGGGGGACTGGGCCACGCGTGTCCCAGTGTGTCCCAGCTCACACAGGTACAGGGCTCAATCACAAGAGTCCAGGGCGGTGGCCCCTCTGAGATTGGTCACCCCACACCCAGACTCCAGGACAGATCACGGTTCAGACTTGTCCAGGGCTGCCCAGTACATCAGAGATGGGAATCAAGGGGCTCCTGACGGCTGGGGACACCATTTCATTGCCAGATGGGCTCTTTATGTCGCTGAAGCCCTCCTACTGCCGCAGGAGACCAGCTGCTGAGAACACTACCCTCCCTCCAGGGCGTGGCCCAGGAAAGAGTTCAGGCCAAGGTCAGCGGACCCCGCAGCCAGCACGGGGGCGGGCGCCACCCGGCCGGCCAGGCCTCATCCCCTTTCCTCGCCCGCACTTACTTATCTCACAAAATCCACCTCGGATGCCACGATTTGCCATCTGGGCAGCGGCGAGTGGCCGGAGCGGCCTCTAGGCTTTAAGCAGGGGACTCCCGGTCTTTGTTTGGGGGTCTGGGGGTTTCTTGCCGGGCAGGCCAAGGTGGCAGATGGGGACGGAGCTCTGGGCGGGTACCCCACCGCTGTGCCCCCAGCCTCCAGTTATGCCCCGGGAGGGCAGCTGACCGGCCAAGGGGGCGTGGGAGGCCTCTGCCCAGTCGACTCCCGCCCCCGCCCCGAGTCTGTGTTCCACGAGGGGCCATGCGGAGGCGCCCGTCGCGATAGAGGCCACCGCCCGATCTTCAGGAGCGGAACTCGCGAGGGACGCAGAGACGGCGACCCCGCTCTCACTCCATAAACGAGGTCGCTAGTCCCGAGCACAGATCTCCCCCAAGACCGGGCGCCCACGGAGTAAATCTGCGGGCCGGGGACCCAGCCCTCCGTAACTTTCGTGGGCGGCGGCGGGGCAGGAAGTGGGGGGTGGTGGCGGGGGCGGCGCCTGGGTCGCAGGGAGGTG